ATGAATGAATGAATGAATGAATGAACGAATGAATGAACACACGCACACATGAACGAATGAATGCGTGCACGAATGAATGATGAATGAACGAACAAACAGACAACCGAATGATGAATGAATGAATGAATGAATGCATGAATGAACGAATGAATGATGAATGAATGAACGAATAAATGATAAATGAACGAACAAATGATGAATGAATGAACAAACGAATGATAAATGAACTAACAAATACATGCACGAACGAACGATGAATGAATGAATGAACGAATGATGAATGAACGAACGGAGGGACGAATGAACGAATGATGAATGAATGATGAATGAACGAATGATGGATGAACGAACGAACACACACACGCATGAACGAATGAATGATGAATGAACGAACGAATGATGATTGAACGAACAAATACACGAACGAATGAATGATGAATGAACGAACGAATGATGATTGAACGAACAAATACACGAACGAATGAATGATGAATGAACGAATGAACAAAGAACGAAAGAATGATGAATGAATGAACGAACAAATGATGAATGAAAAAGCTAACGAACGAATGATGAATGAATGAATGAATGAATCATGAATGAACGAATGAACACACGCATGCACGAACGGATGATGAATGAATGAACTAACGAATGATGAATGAACGAATGAACACACGCACGCACACACGAACGAATGATGAATGAATGAACGAACGAATGATGAATGAACAAATGAACACACGCACGCAAACACGAACAAATTATGAATGAATGAATGAATGAATGAATGAACGAACGAATGATGAATGAACAAAAGAACGCACACACGAATTAATGATGAATGAACGAACAAACAAACAAACAAATGAACGTACAATCGAATGATGAATGAATGAATGAATGAACGATGAATGATGAATGGATGAACGAGGAACCCAGTCAGAGTTCACAGCACCACTAAGGCACATCTGGTTCATTTGTTCTCAGAAATAAGTCTAAATCTTTATCTTTACATCATATCTTTACTTAACTCTAGGACAAAAATAAATAAATAATAATGACCTGTTTTTTTGTTTGTTTGTTTATTTAGTTTTTTTATTGGTTTTTCATTACAAATCAAATTAAACAATTTTTCAACCCTCACCAACAAATCCCTGGCATTGCATCTATGCCGATTATTAATTTTCATAAGATAACTGAAAATAAATGCACACATATGCATGTATACAGAATATATTTTCTAAATGCAGTTTATTGATCTTACTGTGAACAATTCATCTGTATATTTGTCAGTGTTATATTGATATCACTGATATATTATTATAGTTTTGGCTAATATTTTAAATTAGATTAAATTTTAATATTTTCAGTTTTCACTTTAGTTAAAATTTTAGTATTTTTGTTTAATTTTTTTAATGATTTTTTTTTTATGTATATTTTTTTTATTAATTTGCATATGTCAGTGTTATTATGTATATTTTTGATTTGATTATTTTAATTAATTGAATTAGATTTTATTTGTATATTTTCAGTTTTCACTTTAGTTTAAGATTTAGTATTTTTGTTTAATTTTTAAAATTATTATTTTTTAATATATATATATATTTTAATTAATTTGCATATGTCAGTGTTATTTTGTATATTTTTGATTTGATTATTTTAATTAATTGAATTAGATTTTATTTGTATATTTTCAGTTTTCACTTTAGTTAAAGTTTTAGTATTTTTGTTTAATTTTTTAATGATTTTTTAAATACATATTTTTTTATTAATTTGCATATGTCAGTGTTATTATGTATATTTTGATTTTATTTTAATTAATTGAATTAGATTTTATTTGTATATTTTCAGTTTTCACTTTAGTTAAAGTTTTAGTATTTTTGTTTAATTTTTGAAATTATTGTTTTTTAATATATATATTTTTTAATTAATTTGCATATGTCAGTGTTATTTTGTATATTTTTGATTTGATTATTTTAATTAATTGGATTAGATTTTATTTTTATATTTTCAGTTTTCACTTTAGTTAAAGTTTTAGTATTTTTGTTTAATTTTTTTAATGATTTTTTAAAATACATATTTTTTTATTAATTTGCATATGTCAGTGTTATTATGTATATTTTTGATTTGATTATTTTAATTAATTGAATTACATTTTATTTTTATATTTTCAGTTTTCACTAAATTTTAGTAAATTAGTTGTTTTTGCCATTTTAATATGTCTATTTAGTTTTCATTATTTTTTATTTACACATTATAGTTTATTTAATTTTAGGTATTTTAGTGCTTCAAGTTAAATTCAACTGAACTAGCTGTATATATATGTATATGCATGCTACAGAGACGAGAGCTGATTTATCTCGACACGCCGGCCTTGGCTCTGACAGAGCTCTGAGGCTGTATATAATTGTGGATTAACTACTGAAATTCTGCGGCTTTGCCCCGATGGAAATGATCCACTGTACGCTACATAAATAACTCCTGGCCGGCTCGCCAGACAAACATCTCGTCTCCTGAAAGACTTTCCAAAACATGACGTCTAAAGCCCTGTGAGCCGGAGTTTGTATGCGTGTACAAGCATGATTTTGGTCAACTTGTGAGGAATGCCTCTATTGTCTTCCCTCGTGGCATATGGCCTCCATTGATGCGCCACTTACGCAGCTCGCAGGAGACATTCCCATAACATTTATTAAAGGATATGTAAATGTTAGGGCAAAACATGTTTATAGAACATTCTTATAATTAATACTTGATATAGATTCTCGTAATGTTGAGAGGAAACACTGATGTTCTCAAAACATGTTATTAATGCTTGATCAATGTTTTTGTAATGTTAGCAGAAAGAGATTGTGACAATAATGGTCATGGAACATTTGTTTTGAATATTATACATAACTGATGAACTAAATCTCGGGAGAAAATGTTTTTTCCTTTACTCATTAGAAGGATCAGCTGACAGGGAACGTTCTCCGAATGTTTTCAAAATAATAGAACGGATGATAGATGTTAATACGTTTTTAAAAACGGGACATTTTGAACGTTTAAAGAACAATTTAGAAAGATACATTTTCATAACGATTTCAAAATGATTGAATGGAGTGTTCCTCTAACGTTGACAACCAAGAAAAAACATTTAAATGGGTGTTTTAAACGTTGAGAGAACGTTCAAATGTAACGTTCTCATAACGTTTTCAATGACAGAATGGAATGTTCTTAATACATAAAAAACATTCAGAAATAATGTATCCATAATGGTTTTA